TAATACCATAATAATTCGCCATAATATGGAAAAAATGCAAACCCACGTAAACCACCTCCATTACTGATGATCATCTTAGAAACTAGTCTAAACTAAAAATACAGTAAAATCTTTCAATTAATCAATCTTTATGTAAGGTATTTGTTGAGAAAAAAAGTCAGTGTCACGAACTTAGAAACTTATCTCTACCCACCATATCTGTCAGTATTTACAGTCAAGGAACTCTTACTTAAACATTAGACAAGAATTATGGAATATTATAAATTCTTTTCACTTAATTAATCTTTAATTAAGGTTTTGGTTGAGATAAAAAAGTCAGAGTCACAAGCGGGATTCGAACCCACGACCATCGGCTTGATACGCCGCTGCGCTACCACTTGAGCTATCGTGACTTCGATCCACTCGGACATTAACTTCCCATCTCAACCCCACCTATTGAATTTTCCCTCTTTTTGGCATTTTTCAATTGTTATGTAATCTATTTGATTCTCGGTGACAAATGAAATGGCCGCGGAGAGCTTTAGTGAAGGTATACTTCATTTTAACTCATTAAATTCACTATTTTTCGTGGTCCGCTTGACCAATTAATATCTATCAATTAATTAAGGTTTTTAGTTGAGATAAAAAAGTCAGTGTCACGAGAGGGATTCGAACCCACGATCTTCGGCTAGATACGCCGCTGTTCTACCACTTGAGCTATAGGTCGTGGGTTCGAATCCCGCTTGTGACTCTGACTTTTTTATCTCAACCAAAACCTTAATTAAAACTTGTAAAAGTTGATTTTCTGATTTCGTGATTTGTTCCGTTAAGATTACCATAAAAAAAACAAATGAAACTCAAAGTTACGAAAGGTTGCAGCAAGAAGAAAAGTGAATTATCTCGAATATAATTGAGAACTATGTTTTGGAAAATGGGAACATTGTAGTACAATTTGCCATTTAGTACCACCTGAAGTATTGACGTTTGTTCGCAGAACACCCCCATGTGATTTACTTGCAATTTTCTGCAGTTTTAAAGCTAAAATGTCTGAAATATTAGGGTAACTAAAAATTGGTCTTCCTTTTTGAAAAACGTGTTGATTGAGAATTTAAAATTTTGAACATTTTAAACGATTGGATTACCTGGAGAACATATATGTAAACATTCCTTTCTTTCTCTTTATAGTAAACTTTTAATTCAAAATTTAAAGTTTTATCTCGTGTATAAAAGGTTTTAATTGAGATACCCTCTGAGTAAATCTTTTATCGTTTCAGATTATCCCATCTTGTACGATTCAAGTGACGAACTGGGTCAAACAGGTGCAATGGGCCTTTGGAGAGACGGATCCATATGAGTAAACAGGGGGTGACAAATGATCCTTAAACGGCCATACGTAAAAGCCATCGTGAACTGTCAAAAACGTACGGTATAGTAACAAATAGCAGCTGCCCCATTCATGTTTTGATGACGTTTTTAATTGTTGTTTGATTAAGATATTTATAGAATTTTAATAATAACTTAGTTCGTTACAATTTATAGCAGACTGTTTAAGGATATGAGTGATGAACTGGGTCTGATGTACGATGAAGGATGTCCTCGTATTTCTGATTATGGTATTTTTGATTGATGGCTGACGGGTCAATTTCTTAAAAGAGATGGTATGATTACCTGAGCCGGGTAAACAATTTAAGGAAAGCTGTCCCCCTTGAATCTCTTGTCGAAGGTATACAATCAAGTAATCGCACTTCCAAAATGCCATATCGCTGATTTTATTGATTTTTTTACTAGGCCGAGTACTAGAAGTGCTAGAGTTCTTGCCAATAAGCAGAACCGTATTAACCAAGTTTCAAGGTATAACAAGTTTGAAAAACCAGAAGATGCTTACAGTAAAGTACGCAAAGAAAAGAATTTTTGCTTAAAAACAATTCAAATTCGTTTTAAGCAGACGATTAGCTGCAGGCATTTTTTACTTTTACAGCATTTTTGTTAATACGGTTTTTTGCCGTGGGTGTGCAAGGATTGCAATGATATAACAATCGATTTGGTTTTTCGTCTTTGATAAGAGAATAATAAGCAGGATCGTATTAACCAAGTTTCGATGTATAAAAAGTTAGAAAAACCACAAGATGCTTTCAGTAAAGAAAGCAAAGAGAAGTTTTTTTCGTAAAAACCAATCCAAATTTATTTTAAGCACCATTTAAAGCTCTTAAATGCGAATTTTCATGACTATCAAAAAAAAATTTTTTTTATTAGATTTTCCAGATGGGCTGGATTATTGATAATATTGGAAATATATTTTATTCAAGTTTAACAATTTTAGGACCTATTGTTTGATAGTTACCTATAACTTGGTCGAACTATCCTTGCTAATTTTTGTTAGTTCTAACACGTTTTGACACTTGGCCATCATCAGTGTTTGTGTGTTTTCTGTGGATTGAAGAAACGACGGTACGTAACTGGCAAACGCAACAATTGTATAAAAGGTTTTAAGTTTTCTCAAATTTCTTCAAAAAGAGCGTAGAGTACATCGCGCTCGTCCTCTTCAATTAACCTCCATAATTTTCACTTAAGATTTAATTGAAATTTTTGAATTTCTAATTTTTTAATTCGAAATCTGAAAGGGGGTGCGAAATGAGGCCGAGCTTGGAAAGCGCCGGCTAATCTTACGGCTTCATCAAGAATTCATGCAAAAGCCTGGCGAACGCTATTTAATTGTATTTAATCATACAGCAGTATCCTTATGTGTTTGAATTTAAATCATAATTAAAAATGTCACTGTTGTTTGAATAAAGTTAAAAAAAGAAGATCTCTGGTTTTCATACATTTTTAATAATTTAATATCTTATTTTTTTTAACATGTTCTATATTTTCTGAATCAAATAAAAGTTTAAATGAATGATAATGTTTATAAATAATATATATCTAATGATTATTTTTGACTATGTATGCGGAAAACTAGAACATTTCAGCCTCCAACAAATGCACATTTTAAACCTAGTCTCACACATTCTTAAATAAATTCTTTCTTATTTACTATATAATTTACTAGATTTACACATTACTACATAACTAACCTAATTGAGGGTCGAAGAGGTACTCAATATTCCGCCATCAACCATCTCAACTGTAAATTCCATCTTATAAATACTTTCGTTCAACAGCACATAAAACGAAATCTACCAAATACTATAACAGAGACAGCAACATTTTTTGCATACCAACCCATGATGATGATAAATAGGATATTAGGAAGCTGGATTTAGTATAACCAAAGCAATGCAGCCTTGTGGCTAGTAATTTTTCTAGTTCTTTGGCTAAGGCCGGAGGTGACAAGCTAGGTGCTTACTAACAAAGTGAGTCACCTGGTTAATTGGTGGCACGTTGCAAGTGGCCCGAAATGTCTCTTTCTCTAAATTAACTAGAAAACTATTTCTTTCCAAAAATACTATATTGAAATTTGATTTATTAGGGTATAAATGAAGGAGTTTGGTGTTTGACATCAATCGGCGAAGAATGTTGGAACGTGAATTGAAAGTGATGTGTGGACAATTACGTAGTTTTATGGAGATCCTCATTTGGATCCCATAGAGCAGGTGTTTTAAAAACTGCGGAAATAATAACCTCGTCCATCATGAAAGGATCAGAAATCACTACCCACCAGGTAAAAAAAACGGACTACTCGTTTACTAGGTGACTCACGTGGTGTATGTAACCACGTGCAAGTGGGGCCATTGTCGAAAGTTCTTCACTGTTCGTTTTCCTGGGTGGCTCACCAATCGACTCGCCTTGTCACTAGTCACCTAGCTTGTCGCCTCTGGTGTGGCCTTAGCCAATTCATTTCAATTGAATCGATCCTTGTTTTAAGATGGCCTTAAATTCTTCTTGATCCCTTTGGTTATGTCGCCAATGAGCTATTGCTTTGCACTCAAAGATGATATGTGAGACTATTACTCCCTTCTCATTGCTTAACCTAAAATGGGGACATCATTGAATGTACCCATGTTGTCAAGGTGTTTTCTCAGAATATTTCTCAGAAGCCAGTACCCCCTAGCCAGCATTATCATTCCCCTGAGTTTTACCCTGTCTAAATATAGTAATGTGTTTGCCAGTTTTAGTGAGGGTATTTTAATCGCAAGTTTACTGCCTCTGCCACCTCCAGAGGAGGTTTATTTCTCCCTTCATTTTGCCTGGGTCCATTCTAATTTCAATGAGTTTATATTTTTCTCGTTATCCCAATGGTCCTGTGCATTTATCCGTAATTCCTTTGTGCCCTGGCAACCAAGATATTGTTCAGGTTTTTATGTCTTTTCATGTTTTGTCGATTTTGGGTGTATTCATTGACTATTTTCCATGGGATCTTTTTGCGTGGCGATGTTTTTAGAACTGCTTGGCTTATGAGGATGGTTTTTTTAAATGTACACACCTTGTTATGGCACAACCCACCATATATTAATACTCTGTTTAGCTGTTACAATTCAGGACTCTGCAGTTGGCAACTATAACTAGACAACTGACATGGAATTCTCACGCAAACTTCTGGTCTTTTCCCTTGTGCTTCCCTATTTCGATTATGGCTGTTTGGCCTACGGTGTACTCACCAACAGACTTGTTAACAGAGTCAAAAGAATCATGAACTACTTTTTGCTCTTTGTTCTTGCAAAGAGATCTCATATATCCGATATATCGTGGTTTTAAATGGTCCCCTCCACCTCCTACTGCTCATAAGACCTATTATAAACCTACTCATGTAGTCTTTGGTGTTCTGCGGCCCAAACACAATGACACCAGTTACAGGAGCTTATAACCGACCTGATTATATAAATTCTGGCGAAAGATAGCCATTGGGCGCATCTTAAGGCTTGACACCATGTTAATTAAGTATTTTCATACTATATGTAATATTAAACTAACTGAAATAGTCGAAAATAGGTTACAAGGTTCAGCTAATACTCTCTTTCATTCACTGAATACACTCAATGGTAATAATTTCGTTAAAAATTGTATATAATTTAATTAATTACCTTTGGCGCCTCATGACTTTGGTTTGGTTGTATTTTGAAACATTTGATTTGACCTGAAACAAAGGCAAAATATGAATCATACTGTAATATTTGTATTTCAAAGTGCGTTAAGTGAAGCTGGAGGGTGACTCAGGTATAGAACTGGTGATAATGGTTTTCAGTTGGTTCCGAAACTTGTGAAGAAGTTTGTTAAATAAACTGTGTATTTGAACTGTGCTTTTCTTGGTTACCTTGAGTACCACCACTTCACAAACCTAACAGACAAAGCACAAATTAATAACAAATATAATGTTATTTCTAAATCTTCATTTCAAACTAATGAGACCACACGAAGTATCAAATAAGTCACGACTGAAATTTTGGCTTCCTTATCTCGAGTGAGTTTAGTAATCGTAAAATTTTCTACATACATTTATTGAATGGTACGGTATCAAATAAATGGAGGTTATGGAATAACCAAACGCCCCATAGACCAACACGTCAGCAAAGTCTGGCGGGTCCAGACGACCGCCGGTCTCAATCAGCGTTTCTTTATACTAGTATAAAAACCCTAATCCCCAAATATCCTTGCCTTACTCTTACTATAGCCTTCTGCCCGTCACTCTGTCGGTTTAAAATTAAACATTGCACAGTTTTGACAATAAAGTTTCTTCTTTTTTTAAAAAGTCTTCTTCGAGCGATTACTTAACTGGCGCCCGGAACAGGGACCGCGAATAGCTAAAATTTTAAAGTCGTTACCATTTGTCCCGCAGTTGCGTCCATTTGACTCAACGGAACTTTTAGCGTGCACATCGGTGCTTTGATCGCGGTTCAAAGAAACCTCTCGTTAAGTCAAGACTGAAGAAATGCCTGCAGCGACCATTCGTCTCATCCAGGAGAAAACGTCTTGAAAATCGCCAAGGACAGAAGAAAGAAGAAAGAAGAACCACCAACCTGGATAAGAAGAAAACTACCGTAGGAGTAAGTAGCCATCTTTCGCTTATTAAACCTTCCAAGTTAATCCTTCCTCCCAGCATGTCTACAAAAATTAATTATTAAATAACAAAACAAGACTACGATCACATTTCTTTTTTCGATGGAAACCCTTCAGAACTAGCCTTCTTTTGTGAAATTTTGGAAACTGCATACAGCGTATTGTGTGCAGAAAATATTATTGAAAGAGATTACAATCATAATGTTTTATTCATAAAAACTAAAAGCAAACTAATTGGCCCTGCCGGAAATGTACTTATTTCGCATGATATAAATCATTTACTAACTGTAATTACACATGTGAAACAAAATTTCGCTGATTCAAGATCATAGGAAATTCTTAAAGAAGAAGTAATGCAAACTAGACTCAATCCTAAAGAATACCCCATATAATTTATTAACAGAATTCAAGAATTACGAAACTTAGTTTATATTCGACTAAAGCTAGACGGACTAAATTCAGACACTTTGAAAGAATTAATGACCACAATAGATAAAGAAATTATATTTCACATTTTTAAATGTTTACCTTCCGCTTTAAGTAACCACATTATGATATTTAATCCAGAAACAATTGATGAAATTAGAACCATAATATATAACAAATGTTCTTTTATATCATCTAATATCAACTACAAGAAGTCCAGTGAATCCAATAGAATTCCAAACCATTATAATAACCCTACGTATTTTAATAAGCAATCTTCTCATGTACAACATACACCATTCAACAAATTTCAAAATTATAAACAACAACAACAAAACTTTAACATTAACAGAACATTTGAAAATAAACCCAACTACCAATACAATAAAAGACTTTAGAGGACCGAGTGACCCGAACAACGCAAATCATACAAACACAGTTTCTATGCGCTCTATAGGTAGACCGCGAATGCCGGATTTACTATCTCCCTACGAAGTGACTCATTGTGAAAAAACAAAGACGAATGTTAAAGACCGACTGACAAAATTAGAAAACACTATCGAGACACTAACAGAAAAATTCGATCATTTTTTAGGACTAGGCAAAGAATCGAAAGGAAGCCCTCCGAATATCAATTAAATTCTGTGAACCTATCATTACCGCATTTCATTGATAGACACGGACTGAAATGGTTAATAGATACGGGATCTTCTGAAAATTACATTACACCTACAGCAATACTCAAAGACACAATTTTTTCAAATGACCCCTTAATAATTTCAACCCCCGCTGGCAAAAAGAACGGAGAAAAATCTTGCTGTCTAAGTTTGTACGAAATATTTCAAAAACAAGTAAATACGAAATTTCATCTCTTTCCTTTCTCAGACAAATACGATGTTTTGCTAGGGTATAAAACCATGCAAGACCTAAATATAAAAATTGATTTAAGTAATAAAATTCTTTTTTTCCCTGGTGGCTCGATACCACTAAAACTTACATTTTAGCAATAAGAATTAAATAATGAATCCCTTTTAAATTTAAATAAAAAATATATAAATAATAAAAGTAATAATAACACAGAAAACGAGATAGCTTGCGAAGTCAAGTCCAGACAAGTAATGGCCATTTGCCCCGAACCCATGGACATCGTCGAAACGCAAAGCACTCGTACGAGCGAAGAAGACATAGTAATGGCCAATTGCCCCGAAATGTCAGTACGCTCAGATTTGGGTAAAATAAGATAAGATATACCCTCATTAATCAGAACGGAGCATATGAACTCCGAAGAAAAAAATAAAATTATAGAATTATCGAAAGAATATCCAGAAGTTATTAAAAGGGAAAATGATAAGTTAACATCAACAGGTTTATTAAAAAATAAAATATTAACTACCGATGAAAAACCAATTTATTCGCGAAATGGTAGTTATCCACAAGTGCACCGTAAAGATTGGCAAATAGAAATAAATAAGTTATTAAAAAGTAAAATAATTCAACATCATAATTTCCCCTATAATAGCCCGATTTGAGTAGTTCTTAAGAACATGGATGCTTCTGGAAAGAAAAAAGTTAGAATGATATTGACCATAGAAAACTTAATCATAAAACACGAAAAAAATTACCCTTTAATCAAAACTCTAAGACTGTCTTTAATTGCATATAATAATTCTATAATTTCAAACCTAAAAATGACTCCTAATGAAATTACTTTCGGTCCAAACCAAAATTCATACGTAGAAGATGTAATCCTAAAACAGAAAGTCAAAGAATATCATGATAACAGAGAACTTGTAGTTAAAGTTATTAAAAAACAAATCGAAAATGAAAAAGAAAGTAGAACATACAAATTAAATCAAACCAGGGAAAACATAAAAATTCCAGAAGGAAAAATTTATATACGAGACAAACAGTTTGGAAAAGTTAAACCTAACTGTATCTTTTCGACTGTAAATATGTCTATACATCGAGCACATAATTTATTAAATATGTACCATTTATAGATTATTATTTAGCTTTTAAAACTAAAACAATTGTAGTTAAAAGAAATAATGTGAATAATACAATATTTATATCTAATACTAGTTTAATTAAATTAGACAAAAATGAAATATTGTTAAATAAAAAAATTTACCAATATTTAAAGAACCAAAAGTTATGTATACATAAACCGACGTGTTTAGAGTGGCGAAAGCTAATATATCTTTTGAAGATTTACATAAGCTCAATGTAAAAATGCAACCATTGGAACTATTAGAAGATGTTCCCTCGACATTTTTAACAATTTATGTTTATGTTGTAATTTGTAGGGCACTCTGTCAATATTCTTCATGTTAGTTTATTTTCGCCGTCACCATAAAGAAGCCCCTCATCAAGAAGTAGAGTCTCAGCCGACACCTGCGTCTGTTTCTACAGGACTGCATTTTTCTCGCAGGAGCATCGAACTTAGGGACGGAAGAGTTATGGAATCACCAAACGCCCCTCACACCAACGCGTCAGGAAAGTCTGGCGGGTCCAGACGGCCGACCATCATCATAATCAGCATTTCTTTAAACTAGTAGAAAAGCCCTAATCCCCAAATATCCTTGCCTTATTCTTACGATAGCCTTCTGCCTGTCACTCTGTCGGTTTAAAATTAAACATTGTACAGTTTTGACAATAAAGATTCTTCTTTTTTTTTTAAGTCTTCTTCGAGCGATTACTTAACTGGTGCCCGAACAGGGGCATTCTTTTTAAAAAGAAGAAACTTTATTGTCGTCATTGGTTCATGAGAAATTCAGCCGGGCCATCTAAGAAAGACACCCTGTATCTTGCCTTGAACATGTAACTCGCCATCCCTTAGGTAGTTTGAAACCCCTTTTTTTTACATATATTTTTCTAAATTACATCAACACCTCTTATGCAGGAATGAAACTGTTCCCACGAAATTATGAACAGCTAATGTGCTTTATATAGTTTTTTGAAAATTACGAATGAGCTTCTTTTATGTATATTCTTTGTCGCTATTTCCTAAGATAAAACACAGTATATCAACTCCCTACTGCAAGAGGAATCGATGTGTAACCTTTTTTGGCATAAATTAGTTAAAATTCGAGCATGATCATTGTTTTTCCAACCTTCTTCATTATAAAAAAGTCAAAGGCACGAGCGGGACTTTTTTATCTCGATTAAAAACCTTAATTAATTGTAATATGTTAATTGGTCAAGCGGACCACGAAATTAGTGAACCTCTTCATTATTTTGAAACGATTCTTTTTTATTTATTTTTTATTTTGTAGATCAGCCATAGGCGAACGATCTTAACGAGCATTGTCAGAAAATATCCAAACAACCAAAAGCTTAAAAATTCAAGTTTCATCAGAAAATTGCCTCTCTTGAAAAGTTGTAATTTTTCAAATTTCGGTACATTTCACTCCAAATACCTTTGGCACATTGAAAAATTCTTTTTTCCTCAATAATAGGCAATCAAAGATAGCGATGAAAGTTCAAAAAACCTTAGTGCTAAGAAATACTTTGTTGTGTGCAAAATGTTGTAAAATTTTGTTACAACTTTCGTTATTTGCCAGTGCAGGAGACTCCAGTATCAAAATTAACATTGCCTGATTATTGACGCTAATTCATTCAAAGCTTGATTACAAAGTTTGCACCTCCCGTA